GGACCAATCCTATTTAACTTATTAATAGATGATTTAGAGAAAGGGGTGAGTAGTGAGGTAGCCAAGTTTGCGGACATTACTAAACTGTTCAAGATAGTCAAGACCAAAGCAGGCTATGAAGAACTTGAAAAAAAAAAAAAGATCTCACCAAACTGAGTGACTGGACAACAAAATGGCAAATGAAATTTAATGTGGATAAGTGTAAAATTATGCACATTGGAAAAAATAAACCATACAATATGATGGGGGCTAATTTAGCTACAACTAATCAGGAAAGAGATCTTGGAGTTATCGTGGATAGTTCTCTGAAAATGTCCACAGTGTGCAGCGGCAGTCAAAAAACCAAATAGGATGTTAGGAATTATTAAAAAGGGGACAGAAAATAAGATGAAGAATATCTTACTGCCCGTATATAAATCTACAGCACACTCACATCCTGAATACTGTGTACAGATGTGGTCTCCTCACCTCAAAAAAGATATTTTGGCATTAAAATAGTTCAGAAAAGAGCAACTAAAATGATTAGGGGTTTGGAATGGGTCCCATATGAGGAGAGGCTAAAGAGACTGAGACTTTTCAGTTCAGAAAGAAGGGACTGAGGGGGATATGATAGAGGTGTATAAAATCATGAGTGGTGGGGAGAGGGTGAATAAAGAAAAACTATTTACTTGTTCCCATAATATAAGAACTAGAGGACACCCAGAAAAGAGCAACTAAAATGATTAGGGGTTTGGAATGGGTCCCATATGAGGAGAGGCTAAAGAGACTGAGACTTTTCAGTTCAGAAAGAAGGGACTGAGGGGGATATGATAGAGGTGTATAAAATCATGAGTGGTGGGGAGAGGGTGAATAAAGAAAAACTATTTACTTGTTCCCATAATATAAGAACTAGAGGACACCAAATGAAATTAATAGGTAGCAGGTTTAACACTAATAATAGAAAGTTCTTCTTCACACAGCCAACCTGTAGAACTCCTTGCCAGAGGAGGCTGTGAAGGCTAGGACTGTAACAGAGGTTAAAAAAGAGCTACCTAAAATCATAGAGATTAGGTCCATAAAAGGATATTAGAGAGGGGGTAAGGAATGGTGCCCCTGGCCTCTGTTTGTCAAAGGCTGGAAAAGGATGGCAGGAGACAAATTGCTTGATCATGATCTTCGGTCCACGGACTCTGGGGCACCTGGGACTGGCCACTGTTGGAAGACAGGATACTAGGCTAGATGGACCTTTGCTCTGACCCAGTATGGCCGTTCTTATGTTAAAGTTTGACCTGTGTTTGAAGCCTTTTCTGCAATCAGAGCTGTTATGAGGCAACTCTCTTGTATGTTTTATCTGATGGTTAGTAAGGCAGGAGCACCGACTATAGCTTTCCCTGCAGTCAGAGCACGTGAAGGGTAGCTCTCATGTGTTGTGTAGGTTCTCCTATGTCTAATAATTTGTGAATTCTGACGGAAGCTTTTCCCCACAGTCAGAGCAGGTAAAGGGTTTCTCTCCTGTGTGGGTTGTTCTATGTGTAACAAGCTGTGACTTCTGACTGAAGCGTCTCCCGCAGTCAAAGCAATTGAAAGGTTTCTCTCCTGTGTGAGTTCTGTGTGGGTTGTTCTATGTCTAATTTTCCCACACTCAGAGCAGTTGAAAGGTTTGTCTCCTGAGTGGGTCTTCCTATGGTTAACAAGGTGTGAATTCTGACGGAAGCTTTTCCCACACTCAGAGCAGTTGAAAGGTTTGTCTCCTGAGTGGGTCTTCCTATGGTTAACAAGGTGTGAATTCTGACGGAAGCTTTTCCCACACTCAGAGCAGTTGAAAGGTTTGTCTCCTGAGTGGGTCTTCCTATGGTTAACAAGGTGTGAATTCTGACGAAAGCTTTTCCCACACTCAGAGCAGTTGAAAGGTTTGTCTCCTGAGTGGGTCTTCCTATGGTTAACAAGGTGTGAATTCTGACGGAAGCTTTTCCCACACTCAGAGCAGTTGAAGGGTTTCTCCCCTGTATGGGCTCTCCTATGTGTAACAAGGTGTGAGCTCCTCAGAAAGCTTTTCCCACAGTCAGAGCAATTGAAAGGTTTGTCTCCTGTGTGGGTCCTCCTATGTCTTACAAGGTGATCGCTTCTACTGAAGCTTTTCCCACAGTCAGAGCAGTTATGG